TACAAACCTTTGCTCTATGCTGGTTCTTAGATCATGCACCATATTCATGATGGGTCGTAACATATCAACCGTCTCTTCAAGGACTGCAATGTGATCCCCATGATTCACCATGTTCAGAAATGGTGGTAATGGTAATGTTTTCCCTCGTCCGATGTCGAGCCTAGGCTCTGATACAAACTGTGACGCGGCGCCTTCCTGAAATTCCTTAGAAGGGCGACCAAGGCTAAGCAACCGATATCTGTATAAAAAACCAATATCAAGAGCAATTGAGAGAACAGAAAAGTGAATTGAGAATAAGAAAGATTGATTGCATTAATGAAAGCTATTACAAAAAAATAATACGGTGTCGAGAGGGAGAGACACCAGTACAGAGAATTGTTTGCTTTCTTAAAAGTTTGACTGCTTGATCCCCCCTAATAATGTTTTTTTAAAAAAAAAAAATAACAAGACTTGACCTAACTAAGCTAGAGAGACATGATGAAAATACATGAAATAAAATTACTATATATTTATAATGAAAAGGACTTATATTCCTACAAGGTAGAGGCATGTCCGTTGGCAGCAACCTTACCTTTAGCATCAAATTCTGCGTGCACGGCACCGTCTGCACGCACGGCACTATTGGCATCTGCCTGCTGCTGGGTGCTGGTGAGGGCTATCGGTTGGGCGATATAGGCACATGCATTCTTGTCACTTGGCGCGACCAAGACCACGGGGCCGTCCATGGCCCTAGGCGTTGGGAGGCTTGTCAGGAAGCCATGGGTCGCGTCCAAGGTGTCATGGGGTATGGCTAGAAAGCCGCCTATGACAGTACTCATGTAATCGGCTTTGTTGCTTCCATATAACGAATGGTAATTGGGCGGATGTAAAGCATGTCTTATGAGTTCATGTGTACCCAATAGTTTTATCTCAATTACTATATACGTGTTAAAAAATCCATAAAATCAGTCGAGCTTTGGAAAAATTTCAACTGGAACCCATAAAGTTTAAGTCTTGAATCCGCCTTTGATGACATTCTGCTTGAACTGTTAGATGGCCGCATACAGTATTTTTCCGCCTTGTCAAAATGGTCTCAATGATCAATGGATAGTTGCATAAACTATGAACTTGTGGTCAATGCAGTGAGTAAAAAATCATGGTGAAATAATCGACGTGGTACTTGTATAAACTGTAGCAATTCATACCTGCATTTTGGATTTATATCCTCTCTTCCACTTTTTTCCTTATGTGTGTTCTTTGTACAGATGCATTCCGAACAGAGAGCTCTTCAATTGAACTACTTATTACTTTCCCTTTTCTTAGCCCTAACAATATAATAATTAGGTGGATTGTAATGTATTAACCTAGATTATTCTTATAATTGGACAAGTTTGATTTAGTTGCTGCTCTCTTTTACATGGCAATGTGTTGGAGTTCGCTTTTCTACTATCCAAGTTCTCAAATTGCATTGAATACACAATTTGTTCTAATACAAGCTCTATAATATGTGTTTTTCTGGTTGTTTAAATTTGCTGTTAAGTCTGAATATTTTGATTTCTGCAAGGTTGATCTTCTCCTAAGCAGCTGGAAGAAAAATCAGCAATATTAATTTTCTTGTATTAAGATTCTAAAGCGCTGCGAAAATGTTGCTCAAAGAGGTTATAAGTTTCATTTAAAATGTGGAGGGGTAGCATTTCCCAAGCATTAAAAATCAAGGGGATTGAGTGGATTTTACTCAAAAGATTAAGGAAAATTGAGATAGAAGAGAAATATATGTTGCCAGAATTTGTGACAAGAAGGCACGCTCTCACAATTATTTGCTGATCAGCGGTACTTAAAAGAATAATTCAAGTCCAACAAAGTTTATAAACAAAAAGAGGACCAAAAATAGAAAATAAAAAGCTACACAATTTCTTGAAGAAGGCTCAGAAAAGAACTCATTCATCGTACATGATAAGAGACAAGTGAAGTACTTCTTTATTCGTAAAGAATGAGATTGAGAAAATCATAGTTGTGTAACACCTCGTGAAGGAGAGCTGAGTGTCAAAATTAACCAATATGCTATTCTGTGATTGATGAGCAAGTAAATAATTTATGTAACACCCAAACATCGGTTGGTAGTAACATGTGAAAATTATTGGAAACTGAGACTTCATTGATCACTGATGTTCAAAAAGTTACAATTTGAGTTAGCATCCCAAACTTTGTACATGATCATTGAATTGAGACTATTGCAATTTGTTCTATCCTATCCAAAAGCAAAAGATATAGGACTGTTCAAGGTGAATCATAAATGATATTGGAATGCTTAATCAGCTTGTTCCTGAATGATGGTAGGTTTCAGTTGAGCTAAAACGGCCCAAAGATACTCTTAACATGATGTGATATTGTCAGCTTTGGGCCAAGCCCGCACGGTTTTCCCCAAAAGTCTCACACCATTAAGAATATTCAACTCCTTAAAAGTAGAAGCTTTTTCCTTTCTATTTTCCATGTGAGACTTTGTTCACACACACCCCAAAGAGACTAGCCAAATATGAGAGATTTGTAATTTCCTTCTACAAGAATAAAAACATAATTATAATAAATATGTTGTCCTTTTCTTTGAGAGATAGAAAAATCAAATATGGTAAAAAAATCATGACAAACACCTTACACCTTACACCATTTGTCTACTATTACCAATCCTTTTCCTTGTGTTGGAAGTTTAGGAGAGGAGCTGAAGACATGGCCTCCCTCTAATCCATGGCCGAGTGTTGCTAGTTTATCTGCAGCTTGTTAGCTTCTCTGTAGCAGTGGTTGATGACGAATCCATGCTCTTCAACTAATTCTTGAATTTCCTCTATGTACTTCTCTAATCTCCATACTGGCTTCCATTCTCTCTTTAACACATTTTGTGAGCAACATGGAGTCTGTCTCTCGTAGAACAAGATTTAATCCTCTGTCGATGCACCATTTTAGACCAAAGAGCATTGCAAATGCTTCTACCATGTTACTTTTGTGCATGGGCCTCGTGGGATGGAGTAGGCAAATAATGTATTTTCATAGCTATCCTTGGTTATCCCACCACCTCCACATTGACCCAGTAGGCAACTTCCATCACTATTGAGCTTGATTCCTAGTGCCGGATGCTTAATCCATTTGACAATTGTTATTGTTCTATGTTGAATGTTTAAGTCACATGCTTAGCATAGGCTGGTCCAGGAGTCTCCTAACCTTGCTCTTCCAAACTGGTTTCTCAGGGTGTGTTTGGGGTGAAGGAAAATATTTTTCTGAAAAATGAGTGATTTTATCGCTTATTTTGCCTTATTTGATTGGTAAGTGGAAAACTTTTTCTGTATTTTCTAGTATTTGGTTAGAGATTATAAAATATTTTTAGGAAATTATTTTTTTATGCTACTCTCCTCAACCCACCTTCCCCAAAATCCCCATGTTTTCAGTACCCCAACCCCCTCCTCCGGACTCCATTTTCTTCAAGAATTTAATTGTTCTTTTCAAAACTCACAAACCCAAAGGAACTAATGTGCTAATATTTTTTTTAAAACTTTCCCAGTGAATCTGGGTATGTTGTATATATCTATAATAAGGGGGAGGGGGTTGCCTTACCTCCATAGATTACAACACGGGGCAAAAACACAGTCAGGTGATCAAAGTATCAACCTCTGTGACGGTACAAAGTATATCTAACTAACAAAAAAGTTCGCTTTGTCGTACCTAGTTCTAACACTAAGAACCTGAAATTTTTCCAAAAAGAAAGGGTCCTTTTGCTCCCCTTGGCATTTGATTAAAGGAGAGGTAGATATTATCCTCCATCGCACTAGTTGCATACTTTGCTAAAAAATCTGCCACTTGGTTAGCTTCCCTATAGCAATGAGTAGGAGTGATATTGGCAGGGTTCATGTACTGTGAGATCTCCTTCATAGTTCTTCGCGATTTGTAGTGTTGAGTATGGTTGTTCTTCAGCATGTTTGTCGCTAAAAGAGAGTCAAGTTCGATTGTAAAATTAGTGACCCCATTTTGTATGCACCATTTAATCCCGAACAGTGCTGCTTGAGCTTCAGCTTCATTATGGCTATCACATTTAGCTAGGATAGCATACATAGGCCATACAGAAGTCACCTTGATCATCTCTCAAAGTGCCACCGAGACCAGCTTTACCATTACCTTGAATATAACTGCCATCAGTATTTAACTTGAGTGTTCCCTGAGGAGGCTTCAACCAAATGACAATGATAGCCTCTTGAACATGCTGTTTAGTTTTGTCATATCATCACAGAATCTGACCCAGGGCAATCAGTTTGCATTTAGGGAAAGCTCTATGTACGGCTGCTTGAATATTCCAAACAATCTGTTGCTTCATGTTGTAATAGTTGAATCTTTTTTGATCCCCATATCTACAAGAACATCCAGCCTTCCAAATTTCCCCACAAATGATGGTCAGAGTAATTTGAAGAATTTATTTGAGGACTTCATTGCTGTATTTTTGTTTCCACCAGTAATTGAACCATCCTCTGATAGGCATTTGCACAAATTTTATCCCCATCGGGTCACCAATGGTTTTCCAAATATTTTTAGCTGCATCATTTTTCATAAAGACAGGTTGCATAGACTCGTTGCAATGGTTAGTACAACATGAACATTTAGAAACAATATGCTTACCAAAATTAAGAATGATTTCATCAAATGGAAGTTTAGATAACCATAATCTCCAAGCAAAGAATGATATTTTAAAAGGGATGCTAGAGTGCCATACCTTATGGAGGAATGGATCCTTGTTTCTGTTGTTTCTAAGCAAATTGTAAGTGGTTTTGTTTGAGTACTTACCATTCTCTGTGAGGTCCCAAATAGGTTGATCCGGAATGTTCTAGTCTCCTATGTTAATCTTCATGATATATTCCATGGTCTCTTCAGAGAAGATGCTTCCTAGTTTATTCCTGTTCCATTCTCCATTTTGAATATACTCTTTGACATGCACCTTGGGATTAGTATTGATATCCCCATATAAAGTTGACAGAGGACCCTTACCTGTCCAATTATCCCACCACATGCTGGAGTTTCCAGAGTTTATAAGCCACAGGATATGAGGTTCTGTGTTGTCTCTGATTTTCCTCAAATTTTGCTATTCATGTGAGTCCTTATCAGATTTTTTCTTACTCACCAAATGAGACCTCGGACAGTATTTATGCTTCATGTAATCAACCTACAAAGAAGGAATTGTTCTAATTCTCCACCATCTTTTAGCAGTTAACATGTTATCAAAAGTTTCCATCCTTTTAATACCTATACCTCCCTCATCTAACGGATAGCATAGCTTCTTCCAGGATCTCCAATGAAATTTCTTTTTCTCACCAGAGAGACCCAGAAGAAATTAGCAAAATATTTTTCAACGAGATTAAAAGTACCTTGGGGGGGGGGGGGGGGGACATAGCGTAAAGAGTATAGATAGGCAATGATCGCAGGACATGCTTAATTAAGATAATTCTACCTCCATAAGAAAGGTTTTTTCCATGCCAACCATTCAATTTCTTAATAATTTTCTTTACCAAGCAGTCAAAATAAGCAATCTTCTTCCTACCTATATAAATTGGACAACCTAAGTAGTTAAAGGGGAAGTTCTTATCCATGTAGCCCGTGATATTTCTAATTCTATTAATTCTATTGGCACAAGTATTAGGAGCAGTTAAAAAGAAACTCTTATCATTATTGAATTTTTGCCCAGAGCTATCTTCATACTTCCTAATGACATCCATAATGAGATTAATAGAATTATTGTTATCACTGGTGAATATAACAATGTCATCTGCATATGTAAGATGATTAATACAAGTACCATTGGGAGGCATAGAGAAGGGGGTATAAAAGCTATTTAGAAATAGATTATACAAAGAGCATGTGAAAACCTCTGCAGCAAGGATAAAAAGTGATGGTGATAATGGATCACCTTGTTTTAATCCTTGACTAGATGTGAAGAAACCTTTTCTATTTCCATTAATTATCAGAGAGTACCAAACACCAGAGAGAAGGTTCTTAATCAAATTAATTTAGTATTCTGTGAAACCAAATCTCCTAAGCACAATAGTGATAAAGTTTCAAGAAATTCTATCATATGCTTTAGCCATATATAATTTTATAACAATATTGCCACTAGTATTGACTTGAGAAATAGATTGAATTATCTCTTGAGTTAACAACACATTTCAGAAATAAGCCTTTCTTTAACAAAACCACTCCGGTTTGGAGAAATTAATCTTGTTAACACAGGATTTAGTCTAAGAGAGAGTATTTTAGAAACAATCTTGTTAGTAAAATTAGAAAGACTAATAGGTCTAAATTTATTAAAAGTGGTAGGGGCATCTGTTTTGGGAAGTAGGACCAAACAAGTATGAGTATAGAATTTAGTAAGAGGAATACCTTTGAAGAAGTCCCACACAACAATATTGATGTCTACCTTGATGATGTCCCAACAGCTTTGAAAAAAGTACCATTGAATCCATCTGGCCCAGCAGTACTTGTAGCCTACAGATCAAATACTGCATTTTTTATCTCTTCCTCACTAGGAATCTCATCCATCCTGTTTCTATTTTCATCAGTGATCCTTTTGGTGATGCAATTTAGAATAGTAGGATCAATACTTGAAGTTGGAAGGTTGAAAATTTTGTTGAAGTGTCTGATAGCTACTTTTGCTGTTTTCTCCTCTCCCTGAATCCATTTATCCTTATGATTTTTAATCCTATTCACCTGAAGCTTTCTTCTTCGAGATACCATGGAAGTACCTTGTATTTATATCTCCCTCCTCAAACCATTTTATATTGGTTTTTTGAAGAAGAAGGAGTCTTGCATATGAAGCCATCTCATGTACTCCGCATGCGCCTTATTTGTTTCTTCTCTGTCATATTCAGAGTTATTGGTTAACTCAATCTCTTTAAGGCATTGAACTTTTTCTTCCCATTTAAGAACCTGTTTATGAATGTCCCCCACTTCTTGTCTAGACCACTGACTTAGTCTCCTACTCAACAGCTTTAGCTTGGATTGAAGTCTCCATATATTGTTGCCATCAATGTTGGTACTCCAAACTTCCTTGGCAATGTTATAAAAGTCTTCCTGCTTAGTCAAGAAATTAAGGAATTTAAAGTAGGAAGTGTGCTTACCTGCTTGATCAAAGGCTTTCATGAGTAAGGACGTGTGATCTGAGCTAGTCCTCACGAAGTGTTTGACATTAGTAATATGGAATCTTTTACTCCACTTGTCGTTGATGAATATTCTGTCAAGTCTTTTCCAAATTCTCTTCCTTGGACACCTATTATTGCACCAAGTAAATTTAGGACCGGTATATCCTAAATCAGTAGTGCCACAATTGTCCATACAATTATTGAATTCAAGGCTCCTATGCATTCTGTGAGGTTTGCCACCCAGTTTTCCCTCTGGATCTAAGATGACATTGAAGTCTCATCCAATGCACCAAGGACCCTTAATATCTAGGCTTATTTCCTCAAGACTGCACCAAAGATCTCTTCTTTCCGCAGCAGTACATTTAGCATAAATGGATGTGATATTGATGGGAGGATGTTCATTACAATCTTCAACCTGAATAGTGATATGTTATTCATCATTGAAGGTAACTATGACATTGCTAATGTTCTTCCAGAAACACCATACTTTTCCATTGTCATTAGAGATACAATTTTGAAATCCCAAGAATTTTCTGTAGCCCTCAACCTTGTTTTTGTCTACCATAGGTTCCATGATTGCTGTAAAAATAATGTTGTTGATGTCTATAAGCTTTTTCAGCCTATGAATGGCCTTCTTTGACCTCACCCCTCTAATATTCCAGAAGATTGTACTAATCATAGAACAATTTTAGGGGAGATATCTGTCTGTTGTTTCCTCTTTGCTGAGGATGTGTTTTTGATTTTTTTTTCTTATTAGGTCATCTTGCCCTGATTCTGCCCCTTCTATGTAGTCCTCCTCTTCAAAATTTTTGTCTTCTTGACTGCCTTTTTTTTGTTGCTCAGGATCTCTCATATTGTGATTTGAAATTGGCTCTTGCTCTGAATGTTTAATAACTTCCTTCAAATTGTTGTGTAAGCCATGTTCCTGATATGCGTAAAGTTCCACCATCAGTTGAGTACCAGGTTGTTCAATGATATTGATTGGCAAACATGTCGAGCATGTGCTATCAATCTGTGCCACTTCTCCATTTCTGTTTTCCCCTCTTATTTGTGTTTTGTGTTTAGCTTGTTGGTTAACCACTATGCTCGAATGTTCTTTCGCATTACTGGACTCTTCACTGTCGATAACAACCTTGTGACACTGATCTTCTTGGGCATTTTCATTTATAGAGCTTTCCTTAATCATAAAGATGGTTCGATTGTTGTGACCATTGGTCCCTTGTCTTTCTTTATTGTAGCTGTTATTAGTCTCCTTGTTCCCTCCTTCTATTGTCTGCTCCTGATTGGTAGAGTTCCTGGAACTAGTATCTTGTTTGGTTTTTTTTTTGAAATTGAGTAGGTTTGAAAACAACTTTGCTTTTTTTTCTTGGGCATCTTCTTTTGCTTACTCTTATTCTTCTTCTTTCTCTTGTTTGTTCTGTCCTTAATGGATGTTTGATTTGCCTCTTGTTATCCGGAGTATAGTGTCCTAGAGTAGTTTTGAATCTATGTTGTGTCTTCACTTGTTTTTCCTCATTAGCATCTTCACAATTGCCTTCTTTTTCCTTGCCTTTAATCTGAATTTGAGTAGTAGTAGCCTTCTTGTTTTCTGCCAAAGCTAGATGTTTCTCCTGTTTTTCCTTTCTTTGCCCTTCCTTTTCCTCTTTTTGGACTCCACTGTTATCCCCATTCTCATTTGTCAAGTTCTCTTTCTTCTCAGCTTCCCCTGTTTCAGTACCTCTCTTTCTTTCAAAGACCCTACAGTTCATCAAGTTATGCCCCAATTTCTTTCATTGCTTACAATACTTGGGAATACTTTCATATTCAATTTTTTGAGTGAAACCTCTAAGAGGAGCATTCTCATCTTCGGATCCTACAAACACACTTTCAACAAGAGATTTAAGGAGATCTATCTCCACTCTAGCTTTTACCATACTCGGCCTCGTTTTACCACCAGCCGCAACATCTAGTGCTAAAGGGGTTCCAATTTCACTACAAATTTGTTTAGCATAATGCCAATTATGCATGTTAAAAGGTACCCCAGGAAGTAAAATCCATACCGGAACTATTGGGATGTCTTCATCCAGCTTGAAGTCCGGAGTCCACTTTCGCAGTCACATTTGAAGGCCATCGCTTTCTACAACTCTTCTATACCAGATTGAGTTGAAATCATCCTCATTTGTGAAGTCCAGAAAGACATTATAATTATCATAGACACCAATTTTGGCTCAACCTTTAACAGGGAATCTTTCTCTGAAGGTAGCCCTAATTTTTTCAATTTGGGGCCGTAGTTTCAAGAATCTACCCACAATTGTCAATCTGCATTCATCCGCCATGATCCATAGTAGTCTTTGACTTTAAAAATCACTGCTGGCATTCCATTGTGGGTGGTATGCCTGGCGATTACTGATTCTCTAGGGTGCCTCATATTGGGGGTAGGCATCGGAGTTGCTGTTGTAATAGTCATAGCATAGGATTTTTTTGTTTGATTGAGATCCACAGCTTGATTCTCCTTGATGTTTGCTTCCTGATGGCCACTTGTACGCGCCGAGTCGACTCCGTTCGACGGTGCCATGCGGTGGTGCGTGGCGGAGATCGTCTAAAAGTTACCGTTTATTGTAAATAACGGCTAAATGTACGGAGAGAGTTTTTTGTCTTAGAGAGAGAATACTTTACTTTTTCTACTTTACTTTTTTCATACAAGAACAACCTTGAGCTCGATAACTAAAAAGAAATATGTTATTTTGTTGAAAAAGAAAGTATCTTTTCTATAATATATAAAGAAATTATTCATTTTGTTGAGTGAAAGAAAATAATTTTTCTACATCATAAAAAGAAAATACTCAATTTGTTGAAATAAGAATATCTTTTTTACATCATGAAAAGAAAGTACTCGTTTTGTTGAATGAAAAAAATATTTTTTCTACATCAGGAAAGAAAATACTTAGTTTGTTGAAATAAAAGAAAATATTTTTTCTACATCAGGAAAGAAAATACTTAGTTTGTTGAAATAAAAGAAAATATTTTTTCTACATCACGAAAAGAAAATGTTTTTTTATTGAAATGAAAGAAAATACTTTTTCTACATCATGAAAAGAAAAGCACTCGCTTTATTGGGAAAAACAATATTTTTTCTATTTTAAGAAAAGAAAATACTTAGTTTGTTAAAATGAAAGAAAATACTTTTTCTATATCATAAAAAGAAAGTACTCATTTTGTTGAAATGAAAGAAAATATTTTTTTTCTACATCATGAAAGAAAGTACTCATTTTTTGAAAAAAATACTTTTTCTAATCCAGGAAAAGAAAATATTTAGTTTGTTGAAATGAAAGAAAACACTTCTTCTACATCATGAAAAGAAAGTACTCGTTTTGTTGAAATGAAAGAAAATATTTTTATTATCATGAAAAGAANGTTTGGGATTGGTGGGGGTTGGTGGGCGTGGGCATGGAGAATAGGGTGGAGAAGGTTGTATAAGAGTTTTGGAAAATATTTTCCCTCCTTTTGATAAGGAAAAATTTTCCTCCATTTGAAGAAAAATGAATTGATAAGAAAAATAATTTCCAAAGCAATTAAACCAACCAAACATGATTCGTACCAAACACACGCTCAGTACTTGCACCATATTAAACAATATGTTAGTAGTTGATATGTAAAAGGAAGGTCTTACAAGTTCAAATAGATTCTAGTGATGTAGGGCAGAATAGGATTAGTGATTTTATGTTGTTCCCTGCAGAACCAATCGAGGGCTCTAATGCTGTTCAGATGGCTCTAATCTCTATCATCCTTGGATTCATTTAGGATGATTCCCAGATCAGTGATTTTGTTCTTTAACCTAAATGTCGAAGGTTAATGCGAAAAATTCCCGACGCTGAAATTTACAATTAATCCAATGTAAGTTAAACGTGAAAACAAGTTTTCTGTATTTGAGCGGCATAGCATAATATGTCGTTTATATAATATCGTCGTATCTACAGTTTCTTGTAGTAGCTTACCAAATTAGCTTGGTACATTTTCGCATCTAATTAAGTAACAAAACTTTTGTACAAGTCACAAAAATTGGATAAAAGTCCTTAGCACGTGATGACGTGAATTAGGGGTGTTCAAACCGAACCGGAAAATCGCACCAAACCGAAAAATCAAACCAAACCGATTAAAAAACCCGATTAGGTTTGGTTTGACTTGGTTTGGTATTGAGTAAAAAACCCGAACCAAACCGACATATAAATATATAAATTTTATTTATGTTTTTAAGACTTTATAGTGATTTTTCTTTAGAAAATATAGAAACATTTGGGACCCTCTCATGTATTAACCTTGAAAGCGCAAATTAACGTAAAATTATTGTTAGATGACTAAGAAAATAACTATCATGTGTTACTAAAAAAATTTTCTCATTATAATATTTTAATAGATCATATGTTTGTCAATTTTTTCCATATTTACTAAACATATATTCACTTATCAAAGCTTTATCTATAATTTTAACAAAGTAAGATTGAAATAATATTTCTGTAATAAAAAAAACCCGGAAACCCGAAAAATCCGACAAAACTAGACCAATCCAAACCGATATTGGTTTAGTTTGATTTTGATAAAAACCGAACCAACCCGGCCTATGTACACCCCTAATATAAATATATATTAGCTCTTCTTATTGGAGCAAGTTGCCATTTACCAAGCCGACGAAGATGAAGAGGCCAATCAATTTAGACCATATCAAGAGCATACCATTCGATGTTCAATGGACAATACTGAGATAAAGCTTAAATTAACATAAATTAAACCACGAACCTCAAAGCAAATCTCCACGTTATATATATATATTAATTATTGTGGTGGGGATTAAGGAAATAAAAAAGTAAAAGAAAACAATAATAGCTATAGAATCTAATCCCAAATGTATCGTTCACTCCAATTGATGACCTCTCCATCTGGGACAGCATCTGCACAAATAACATATGGTAATTGTTAGGAATAGGAAAAGGGATGGCATGTATTCATACATTTTTACATAAAAAAAATAGTTACCTTGAAATTGACTTTTTCAATTTTCTCTTTTCCTTTAAGCTTGCTTGAAGCGAATTGTATGGATCTCTTCAATAATCCGAGAGTTAGCTGCTAACACTTTTGTATCAAGAGTCATCCAATTATCTTCTATCTTTCTCTTGTATTCTATGTGAGCATTTATGAGATACTCTTTCCAAGTGTATTTGCTAAGTCTCCAATAGTACTTCTTCAGCAATTGTTGACGTAGAAACTTTCTAAATCTTTGGTCACACTGTACTGTTAAACACTTGGGCCAACAAGTCCAGAAGATGGCATCAAAGTAAGTTGAATATGATGCAGTTGAATACCCAGAAATAGATATTAAATTCTCAACTTGAGGTGTGGGATGATGATCACGTATTCCACTTGCTCTCAAACTCCAAAGTGTATTAGACAATGTCAAGTCCACAGGCTGACCATTCAACTCAACTAGAAATCTCCTTAAGTCAATGAACTGCTGAGCATTCCACATGTAGCGATAATCTATGGAAATCCTGCATTGGCTTGAAGCACGTTCAAAAGAGAGAGAAGGTAATCTAAACTGATTGGAAAAGACCAAGGAGAGTAACTTGGGCACATCAAAAATGGCTTGCACTAAGCATTCACAGTTTCCTATGCTACAAATTGAACTTGAGATTTTTAATATTTTCAAATACTTACAATAGCGTAAGCTCAATTCCTTGATGAAGGGTAGTTTTTGTATGAGCTGGAATAGATCGGTATCATCAATTGTGGCCTTCACAAATTCTACTCTTCTGAGATTTTGGCAAGTACCAATATTCAAAGAACGCAAAAATACATCAACACCATATGAAGAAGGCTGTAGCTTATCTTGGTTCACATATTCGAAAGAAAGCAATTTTGGTGCATCAACAATGTGAACTTCCTCAATTGGGCAGCATAAGATATGAAGAGACAAAAGGTTAGGAAGATTTGAAATACGAATGCAACTGAACCCGTTACAGTATTGATATGATATCATCATGAATTCATGATATGAGGGCCGCAACATGAAATTAGGCTATCAAGTGTTGATTCAGAAACAGTAACATAACGCAAGCTTAGACTTGTTAGGTTACTACACTTAAATTTTACTATCTTCAAATAGTATTGATTTTAGTTTTAGTATTTTGCATTGATTTAGCTCCAGTTGCTGCAATGATTCCATCGAAAATATTGTATCAGCTGACAAATTATATCTTTCTGAAAATAATCCTGATATGCTTTTCACCAAAAGTGATACCTGTGAAACCCTTTTCTTTGCTATGATATCAAACCATTTATCCACTATACCGTCACAATCAGTTTGATCAGAAAATAAGATACAAAGCTTAAAATTTGAAACAGGTATTTTTTCATGATGATACTTTTCCAAAGTATTGTCCACAATCCTCAAGAACTGACCATGAAAGTCTACAAACTTACCATGCCGTCTTTTAAAATCAGATTCATCAAAACTGAGATGGGAGTTCGTAGAGCATGCTTTTAGCCATGGCTTTGACAACACACTGGTTCGAGCCGCAGTTTTTGTGGGGAGACGAGAGAGTATATTGTGGAGAATTTGTGTTGGTAATTCTGATGTTCTATCCATGGTATTAGGGTTTGTTTCCTCTATGTCATGTTGGAGATTACACGTTAGTATTCAAAGAATAGAATACATGAACAATTGGAAGTCTAGTCCATATATAATAATTGGAGTCCAGTGACACGAGTCTTTGGAGTTTAGAGGAACTCTATTTACACCACAATCACAATTTGATCGAACAGATGAGTACAACTCTTGGATTAAAGATTTTTATTAGCGCAAAAAACTCAGTCGAAAATAGGAGAATAGAAAGGATATATACTGTCTGGCTTTTATCTTGTCTTTTTCCATTCCGTTTATTTTTTTTATAGTTAATTTCCCACTTAAACTGGGGGTGTTGTATTAATCTTGAAATGATGAGGGGGATGGTCCTTACCTCCAAAGATTACAACACAAAGATAAGAATATCCTTCAAAAAGAACAGGAGATGTTCCTATATATACTCCCCTGCTCAACAAGACAATCTCTGAAGTTCTATCGATGATGATGCTAATGTTTGTTTCTTCCGGTGAATGTTCGTTTTCGTTGCATGCAATGGTTCGAATTGGGCTACCTCAATTGTTTCACGCTCCAAAAGAAGATGGTAATCTTGCCAGTTCACTAGTACTAGGAGGAATGTCCGTGCCAAGCACGGACTTAACAATGTAGCTTTTGTACCTCCTAGTTCTACAACTTAATTATGTAGTAGAACATAGTTGTAGAACCCTTCGGTGGCATGAGTCTTTAACTTGTAGGTGAGTAACATGACTTTTGTTTTTATTTTCAAGGATTTGAAATAGCAACAGTTAGAAGAGTGCAACGGACCGATAGAAGACATTCAATGTCAATTAGAGTGTCTCACTAGGTGATGATCATAACATACAGATAAGGAACAATAGTAAATGTTATGGAGAATATGCAACAGATCGATGGTCCAAATATATGTTATCCATCTTTTCATAGGTACCATGCCATTATTGTACTCTGAATTAACAAGTTATATATCCGACTACCTTTTTGGTCGAAGACCTCCGTTTTTTGGCAAGAAACTCTACGATAAGATGGTGGTTTAATTCAAATGTTGTTCAAGGAGGAATTCAAGTGTGGCTCATCCATATGCATCATTTGATTAAAGTACTCCTAACATTTTCGATTATTGGTTGTGATCAAATACGGGAATATTAAGAATTCCTATTGCTTAACTTTCTCAAATATGAGTCCTTTAATCGAGTTCCTCTACTTTATTATACTCCTTTCATCCCAATTTATGTGATGTCTTTTGAATTTCGAGAATTAGGCTTCTTAATTTTAACCCCGAATTCGGACATAGAATCTTTTAGTTTTTTGAACTAAAATTTACGTATTTGAAAACTACATAAGCATATTATAAGTCACAATAATTAACAATTCAAAATAATTAATTTAAACGCATTGAAAAAGATTACGGAATAAAAAAAATACGCTTAACTCTCGAAATTCGAATTGCAAATTGAGACAAAAGAACAAGGTTTTTTTTTTTCTCTTCAAAAGAACACGTTCAAGAAGCAGATTTTGACTATCTTTTGACGAGTGTACAGTTCCAATATTAAGTATCTCCGCTATCTCCGCCTCCCCTTTTCAGCCTCAAATGATTAGTTTAATTGAAGAGTGTAATAGCCACATTAAAACATTATGTGAAGGAGAAAGTTCTGTGTCCAGACTTCATAGTACCTAAGAATTCTTTGGACATTTAAGCATAATCCATTCTACTTGCAATTGCGCACCAGGCTTTTATTGCTACAACAAAGCACCTGTCTCCGGAAAAAACAGAGCACATCACCAAGAGAAAATGCAATGATAACAAATTATAACAGTCCAGAATTTTCAAACAGCAACAAATCATCTGCAAAATTCATTCCACTAAAAATGTTTTGCATTATTACTCAACTCTAGCTGGCAGTTCCTTTTGGAAATTCTTTGCGCAAAAGAATTTCCCGTATATGTCAATTGAGAGGGCTACTAACACCTCTTTTATATTGCATAATTACAAGCATATCAAGGAACATTAAATTGTTATCTTCTGCCCAGACTCCTATCTAGAGAAATGGTATTCTTGGATTGTTTCATTCTAAATGAAACATTGAATCCGCTATTTGTGTATGATTCCCTCAATTTGAAGTTTCAGTTTTGCATATTTTGCCTCCTCTGTACTCCTTTTTATGGAAATGTCATTTGGAGAGTGCATTTCGAGAAGATGACTTCAGGGAAATAACCAGTTTATCTAACTTATCTCATTACTGCTTTTAATTAAGTTTTTGATTAAATTTTCTTGTTTTGTACTCAATGGTTTGCCATCATCAATAAGGGGGAGATTGTTAGCTTCAAGGTTTCACGTATTAATTTTGATGATAACAAACCAGCACAATTATTAATCAAAGAACATTTACTTGTGGTAATCTTATTTTTGTACATGTTTATTCAAGAAAAAAGATGCTGATAAAGATCCAAACAAATAAGAGAAAGAGAATATCATATGAAGAATTTATCAAGGAAGATTATTTTCAGAGATTTAATCTCTAAGTATCATAGAAGAAATAATATTTGAAAGTGAATTTCAAATATTTAATGGCTTACTACAATATCAGAAGAAGAATCTACGAAAATTATGGATAGAAAGTTTTTCAACATCTTGAAAGGAAAATTACTAGAATCATGGGGAAAAATCTATTATTTTGTGGAAGAAAAATACCACATGGAAAAGATACTACAAGACCTAGGAATATATTATGGATGTAGTACAATCTATATTATGGAAAGAGATTATTTTCCAAGATTAAGAAAGGAATATTTTCAATATAATAGGAGAGAATATATTTTCTATAGAAAGAAAATATCTATATTATGGAAGATTATTTTCCAGGATCAAGAAAGGAATATTTCCAATAGGAGTTTAAAGATGCTACTATTATTTATGGAAAAATATTCTTACTACATTTCCTCTTTGGTATGAAAAGAGAATAATATATGGAAATAAATTTGAGTTCCATATAAAGAATGACTATTGCTCTTATGGAAATTCATGAATATTGAATCAAGACTATGGAAGGTTGAAGAACGATGCACGTGGAGATGCAGCAGAAATTAATTATGAAATGCAAGGTTTTCTAAAGAAGATCAACCAAGATATTGCATCCAAATAAAGAGAAAATATTCTATTACTATAAAAGGAAAAGAATCCTCTACACAAGGATTCTCATGTTGGTACTCAATGAAAATTTATATTTCAAGAAAGGAAAGTGGAGACAATTAAAATCTGTCCAAATACAAGAAGTCAAACAAGGAAAAAAATCAATATTGCAAAGATGCCTATGGTATATCCATCTTCAAAGGAGTGTCAAGTTAACATACTATCCATATTTATACAAGTGCTGGAGCTGCAAATTATAAAAATAAATAAAGGAGCAACAGTCAAATTTCTTGGGTTATGCAATAGAAAGAACAAGTTGAAAGGGTTATAAATATACAAGCTTATGAAGGAAGAAAGTACGCAACCTTCTATACAATTGTCTACCAAACTACAAATTCTTTGTTCTACTCTTAACAAGCATTATAATTCACTTTTAGATTTACTGTGTACACAAAAGAGAGAAGAGAGACAGAAAAATATTGGAGAGGCAGTGTGTCCGAGAGGTTGTGTCATTGTTCGTTTCTTTGGCGAGCGAGTGAAAACCAAAGGGTCGTTGTTGGTGAGCGAGTGAAAACTAACCCTTGTTCGTTGTTGGTGAGCGAGTGAAAACTAACATTGTAAACGTTGGTGGTGAACGTTAAAAATCACACAAGTTGTACTTAACCCAAATTACAAAGAGTTCAAGAGATAACATCCTTACAACCCAAGGAGATTGGATTAGGATACTACATTGGTTCTGAACCAGTATAAAATTCTTGGTGTCATTTATTTTATTGCACTCATATTTTATTATACACCTTACTGTTTGTTGTGAGTGGTATCTATTTAAATTGAAGTACTAACAGTTTTGGTGCAAGCTGTCTCTGCATTAGTTGACTAGGTCTGAAGAGTAGTCGACTAGAAATTTAAAAAGGCTACAATTCACCCCCTCCTTATACTTTCAATTGGTATCAGAAAAAGTCTCACATCTTTATTTTTTGCTTAACAGCAAATGAAAAAAGATCCATGCCAATTTTTGAAACCGTACTTCTAGAGGGATACTTAACAAGAAGGCCACCGTACTTCAATAGCCAATACTATAGCCATTGGAAAGAAAGAATGAAGGTTTATATCCAAACAATAGATTATCGAGCCTGGCTAGTTATTCAGAATGGACCAAGACTTATTCCGAACAACAGTGATGGAAAGAAGCTTGTAAAAAGGGCATACATATTTGACTACACAAAAGAACAATTGGATACTATGCAAATAAATGCTAGAGCAATCAACATGATCTATTGTGCGATTAAAGAAGAAGAATATAAGAAAATATCCACATGTGAGACTGCTAAAGATATAGGGACTCCAACAAAGTTAAGGAAATGGAATCCACGTCAACTCTTGAAGAATCCGAAAATGGTGAATATCGAGAATACTTGGCCGTGATACCCAGGATGAGAAAAAGGATGTCACGACCCAAAAATCCTTCCGAAGGAGTCGTGATGGCACCTAGTCTCTAAACTAGGTAAGCCTAACATTAACTGAAATAACATTGATATTTGCCAACTTTAAATTCAATACTCTTAACAATTTATAATTCCCAAAATCGGTTGTACAAGTCACAAGCCTTTTTAAGAGTAGTTATACAAAATAAATACATCATTGTTCCGAAACAAAGGGAACAAATGGAAATAAGTACAATTGAAGGTGACTCTGAGGACTACGAACGCTGCAGTAGGTTTACCTTGAGTCTCCACCGCAACGAGTAGCTACTATCGATCAAATACATGGGTCTGTACAGAAAAATGTACAGAAGTGTAGTATCAGCACAATCGACCCCATGTGTTGGTAAGTGTCTAGCCTAACCTCGGCGAAGTAGTGA